CAGAAGAAACAAGGAGTGAACCAAAATAACTCAGTTATTAGATTAACATGATGAAGTTGATTCAGTCAGCAAAACAAAACTAAGTTTCAGTGGGGAGTATCATCTTCCACAAATCAGTTAAGAAAACCATGAACCATTTGGAAAGCAACCTACTTTGTGCCTCTTCTTCATTTATCTTAACTTAGCCAATTTATAGAGCCAGAGCTTGACAGTCTCTAGTTCAGATTGGAGTCTAATGTTGCATGACTCCATCCCTCCCCCATATATTCACTAGTATTTTTACTCAGATTTGAAAGAGAAGGGAGAATTATCAACTCATGTAACAAATGACTAGTACTGAAAAATAAATTTTGAAGATTCCAACAAATCAATAATGATAATAATGAATAATAATAAAAGGCAAACAACCTGATAGAAAAAGAGGCAATTAACAGAAGAGAAAACCTGAGTGCCCAATACCCTTGTGGAAAGATGCTCAACCGCACAACCACTCAGGAAAATAAAAATTAAAACAATGACATACCATCTTGTACCTATAAGATTAGATAAAACTGAAAATAACAAATGTTGGCAGGGATTAGGGATATACTCATGCTAAATACAATCACTTTCTAAGTGGAGTAAAGTTGCAATTATTTTAATACGTGAATTTGAAGATACCCTGTGACCTACCCATTTCACTTGTAAATATATATTCTAGATAGACTATCATGCAGAGGTGTTCATTGCAGATTTGCTTTTAAAAGTGAAAAATTTAATGTTCATCATTAAGATAATGAATAAACTCATTTTGGTAATTCATAAATGAAATACTCTAGTAGTTAGAATAAATGAATTAAATGGATGTGTACTAACTTCGATACATCTCGAAAACACAATAATCAAACCAAACCCACTGCCTTCAGGTTGGATCCTACTCATAGCAACCCCTCCTTGGGTTTCCGAAGCCGTTTCACTATGGAAGTAGATTATCCAATCTTTCTTCTGAGGAGTGGCTGGTGGGTTTGAACTGCCAGCCTTCTAGTTAGCAGTCAAATGTCTTACACAATGTTGACTGAAAAAAACAGGTTGCAAGAGGATAAAGTATAAAACTACCTACTAAAATTGCAGAAGGACATAAACTATACTGTCTGTTGTTTATTGTGCATGTATATACATAAACATAAAAAGATGAACAGAATGGATACCGATACTTCATTGAAGTGGTAACTCTAGATATTTACCCACTACCTTCAGGGTTCATTCATTCCCTAAATGACAAGAGTAGCACTGCCCCACAGGGTTTTCAGGCTGTAATCTTTATGGAAGCAGACTGTCACATCTTTCTGCCACAAAGCTGCTAGTGAGTTTGATACGCTAACTTTTTGGTTAGCAGCCAAGCACCTAACCTCTAGAAAGCTAGGAAAATGAAATGGGAATGTGTTTGAGCTGTTTATGCATTGTTTTTATTTTTTAAAAAAAGTCTGATGTAAATATGGTAATAGACTAATTTCTGTGATATATGTAACCCTGTTGTTGTTGTTATGTTGTCAGGTTTGCTCTGACTTATAGTGACCCCAAGTACAACAGCACGAAACACTGCTCAGCTCTGCACCACCCTCATAATCCTCACAATGCTTGAGCCCATTTTTGCAGCTACTGTGTCAATCCATCTTGTTGAGGGTCTTCCCCTTTTTCATTGACCTTTTACTTTACAAAGCATAATATCCTTCTCTAGGGAATGGTCCCTTCTGCCTACGCAACCATAGTAGGTTAAGACAAAGTCTGGCCATTCTTGCTTCTAAGGAGCATTCTGTCTGTACTTCTTCCAAGACAGATCTGTTTGTTCTTCTGACTCAGTACTACTTACTGCCATGGAGTCGGATCCAACTCATAGCGACCTCTCCTTGGGTTTCCGAGGAGGTACCACTACAGAAGTAGATTGCCCTTGACAGTCCATGGTATTTTCAGTATTCTTTGTCAACATCACAATTCAAAGGCATCAATTCTTCTTCAGTCACCCTTCTTCTTTGTCTAGCTTTCACATGCATATGAAGCCACTGGAATTACCATGCTTTTTTTTCAGGTGCACTTTAGTCTTCAAAGTGGCATCTTTGCTCTTCAATGCTTTAAAGAGGTCCCTTGCAGCAGATTTGTCCCATGCAATATGATGTCTAATTTCTTGACTGCTGCTTCCATGGGTGCTGATTGTGGATCCAAGTAAAATGAAATCTTTGACAATTTCAATTTTTTCTCCATTTATTGTGATGCCACTTACTGCTCCAGATTGAGAATTTTTGTTTTCTTTATGTCGAATATAATCTGTACTGAAGACTGCAATCTTTGATCGTTGTCAGTACATGCTTCAAGTCTTCTTCACTTTCAGCAAGCAAGGTCATGCTATTTCTATATTGCACGTTGTAAAGGAGTCTTCTTCCAATCCTGATGCTGTGTTCTTCTTCATATAGTCCACTTCCCTGATTATTTTGTTCAGCATGCAGATTTCATAATTATGGTGAAAGGATACAAACTGGATGCACACTCTTCCTGATTTTAAACCATGCAGCATCCCCTTGGTCTGTTTGAACACCCTCTTGTTGGTATTAATAATATTGTTCAATAATTTCTGCACTCTGTTGGATCACCTTTCTTTGAAATTGGCACAAATATGGATTTCTTCCAGTCAGTTGCCCAGGTAGCTCTCTTCCAAATTTCTTGGCATAAACAAGCTTTTCACCAATTCCTTCAGTGCAGCTTGAACAACTTCTTTCATTACCATTGGTTCCTGATCATATGCTATCTACTGCAATGGCTGAATGTCCAATTTGTTTTGGTCCAATGACTCTGTGATTCCTTCCATTTTCTTTGATGCTTCCTGCTTTGTTCAATATTTTACCCAAGGAATCCTTCAATCTTGCAACTCAAGGCTTGAACTTTTTCTTCTGTTCTTTGTCAGCTTGAGAAATTCTGAGTGTGTCCTTCCTTTTTAGTTTTCTAACTCCAAGTCTTTGCACATTTCACTATAATACTTTACTTTGTCATTTTGAGCTGCCTTTGAAATCTTCTGTTGAGTTCTTTTATTTCATCATTTCCTCCATTTGCTTTAGCTACTCTATGGTTAAGAGGAAGTTTCAGAGTATCTTCTGATATCCATTTTGGTCTTTTCTTCCCTTCCTGTCATTTCAAATTTGAGCATTGGCCGTAAAACTAGAGAAATTTATAGTTTCAAGAGAGCACTTACTGACTTTTTGCTGTAGCTGATAAGCACCTGTATTTCCTATCAACACTAAAGGAAAACCACACATTTGAGAGTGTAGGAGCACTACAGGTTCATGCTTTTTCAAGTGAAGGACCGGTACCAGCTACATTTCCCCCATCCCCTTGGATTTTATTCTCAATTCACTAATCTTCTAACTCATTCTTTTCTACCCCTCTTGTCTATGTCTCAGCAGATGACTTTGCCTCTCCAACACCTCTGTATCTTCACCATACTCTGGCCTCAAGGTCATCTTTCCTTTGACTTCCCCCCACAACATTGTCTCTATTGAGACTCTCATCACTTCTCTTTACAAATTGCCTAGATGTTAGTTTGCACCTCCAGTCAGACTCTATCATGTTGCCAGTTTGATCTTTCTAAATCTCACAGTGTCAAATTTTTGCTTCTAAGTAATTAGCATAGTGGCTAAGACACTTGCCTGCTAACCAGACGGCTGGCGGTTCAAACCCACCAGCCACTCCTCGGAAGGAAGGTTGGGCAATCCTACTTCCGTAGTGATACTGCCTCGGAAACCCAAGGAGGGGTCGCTATGAGTCGGGGCCGACTCGACGGCACATAACAACAACAACAACAAGTAATTATACGGTAGTTTCTTATAGCTGTCAGATAAAATTCAGATCCTTTCCTTAGAATGCATTTGCCTACCTCTCTAGCTCAAACCTTCCACAATCTCCCATTGGCACCCTTGTTCTTTTCATACTGAATTAGTCCCCTGACTCTGTCCTGTTGCTTCATGCACTGCCTATTACTCTGTCTTCCCCATTTAATGAGCTTCTCTTTATCCTTCAAGCCTTAGTGCCAGAATTAGTTTTCCAGGAAACATTCCCAGGTCCCTTCTGATTAAGGTACCCAATTTGGGATAAAGATGTGGCAATCTGCTTTCATAAAGATTCACAGCCTCGGAAACCCTATGGGCATTCTGTTCTGTCCTTTAGGGTCACTATGAGCAATAATTCCACTCCACGACAATGGATTTGTTTTCGGTTTGGTGCAGTGCTTGAGGTTTACTGGTCTCTTCTGCAGTCTGTGCTACATCCATGTTTTCACCCTTCCGTACCTTGGGGCTTGTCACATAGCAGGACTTAATAACTGCTTGTTAAAATGCATTGATTTTGTAAGTAGAACCACAGGGCTTAGTGAGCCTGGGCGGAGAGAGTAAATACTTTTCTGAGGCGTCTAAGATTAAGCAATAAAGGGATACCGTGTTTCAGTCGTGGGTAAAGTTTGCCCTCTGTGAGCCGAAGATGAGAGAAAGTTATTTGGCTAGTTTTGCTTTCTGCCTCACGATGCCGAGTGGCGAGTCGGAAATGTGGAGTCCAAAAGATGAGAAAGAACTACATTTCCCGTCATACCTCCCGATTCTCCCTCCTTGCCGCTGCCTCTTCACTGAGGAAGTGAAAGAAAAACTTCCGGGTTCGGAAAGACCCTGGAGCGGGCAGCATTGGGTCGGCCTTGCTGGGCTTCGCTCGGAAGCTCCGCCTTCGCCCGGGTCCTTCTGGAAACCCAGCTTTGCTCTAGGTTGTGGTAGACAGGTATTTCTTGGCCTCGGTGGGTGTTGCCAGGGTAGTTTGTTGCACCGGGGCGGGCGGGACCCTTCCCTCTGGAGATTCAGAGTTCGGGCTGGGCGCAGCAGGCCCGTGACACTGGGCAAGGAAACCGGTTACCAGGGACGTAGACTGGGCTTTGACGGCTTGTCTTTCTTTCTTCGTGATCGCAGCGACCCAGACACGTGTGTGAGTCCCCCATGGCAGATACAGCCCCCAACGGCCCCCAAGGGGCGGGCGCAGTGGTAAGTACGTGGGTAGGGTCCCCTGGTTTGACTTCAAGAAATGGGAAGCAGCACGAAGCGTTACGAGCCGGTCCCTAGGCGCTTCAGAAGCTTATTGTTTTCAGGACTGGGAATTAGTGCTTGGCCGTGGGGAGCGACATGGCGAGGAGAGGTCTTGAGGAAGGTTCGGGAGCTACCGGTTTCTGTTTCCGAAGCAACCACTAGCCGACCTGAAGCAGGTGGCGCTCACCTGTGCGTCTTGGAAACTGCGCCTCTCGATCCCTTATTGTCATAGGCTCCAAGGTTGAAGCTACCATCTGATGTTGTTAGGTGACATGCTCATACTCCGTACACGCGTTCGTGCAGAGAACATTTTTGACCACTTTATGCCGTGATACCGAAATTTCGCAAAGGGTAGAGTGCAGTCTTTTTTTCTTTTTCCTTTCTTCACTTTGTCGTTAATTCTTTACGAAGAGAAATATTATCATGCTTTTCTAATTTTTTGTTTTTAATATACTGATATATAACTTTCTAGTTATTTGTACCCAATGAGTATGTTAATTGGGCGAGTAATTTTTTTTAGTTTTGCAACATATCTACATACACATTTGTTTTTCTTTTGTGGAACCATTTGAAAGTTAGTTGCATGCATCATGATAAATACTTGAGTATTCTACATGGCCACAATACAGTGATCACATTTGGGAAATTTAAAGTTGATACATGTTATTTAGCTAATGTGCAATCCATATTCAAATGACCTCAGTTGCTCTATAAAGTTGCTTCCCCCTCAGATTTCAAAACTAGCCTATCAAAAGCTCAAGCATTGCCTTATTGGCCATATCACTTTAACCTAGAACCGTTCCCCTGCCGCTGCCCCTGCCCTCTGTTTTGTTTTTCATGCTATTGATATTTTTGAAGAGTCTACATTTGTTGTGTTGTGGAATACTTAAATTGGATTTGTCTGATCCCCTCTCCCATGATTAGATTCAGGTTAAACGTTTTGGTAGAAACGTTACATAAGTGATAATTGTGTTCTCCTCAGTACATTGTATATATATATGTATTGTTCTTATGTGCTGTCGAGTCGGACCCGACTCATAGCGACCCCTCCTTGGGTTTCCGAGGCAGTATCACTACGGAAGTAGATTGCC